CTAAGGGCCAAATGTTGGAATGGTGGAGAGTTTGGAGACCTATCATTTTAAATTGGAAAGTACAGACCTGATTAGAAAGAAAACCGTTTCATTCTGTTGGGACAGCAGTTGGCTGGAATACAGCTGGTGGGATATCCTCCTCTAGGGAAAGAAGGGACTCCTGCAAGGACCTTGTATGTCCTAAATGCAGGCTTCCAGAGGAGGAGAAACAACAAGAAGGGAAGAAAGTTGTGTGTTTATAATGTGTCATCAAGGATCTGGCTGAAGGAGAAGGCAGCAGAAAATGTAAATGCTGCTTTTATTATCTCAAAATAGCCAAAGAGCTCCATTAGCCTCTCAGAAAAGTGAGTCTTCAGAGATGGGGTCCGGAAAAAGTGCTCTGATCTCAAAACTCAGCATGGAGTCCCCAGATGTACTGGCCTGACCTGAAAGCAGAGTCCTGTGTTAACTGGGACATAGATGGGTTGTCACTGCCGATTGCAGGACCGTCCGTGGCAGAGAAAGCACCACTATACTTAACTGGGAGAATGGGTGCTGGTTGGCTAATTAAAGATATATCCAGGATTTCCATTATCAGGCCTGAATCTACCAGTAGCTGTGGATAGTAGAAAAGCCTTCCGATTCAAGCAAAATATAGAAGAAAGGAAAGAGACATCCATTCTCCTAAGGACAGTAAGCGAAACTGAGCAGGTATGAGGTGGAATAAGTGAAAGCTTCTGTGTCTGTGTCCACTGTGCTGAGTGTGATGCCTGCATCTGTGACCACTGTGCTGAGTGTGATGCCTGCATCTGTGACCACTGTGCTGAGTGTGATGCGTGCATCTGTGACCACTGTGCTGTGTGTGATGCGTGCATCTGCCTCCACTGTGCTGTGTGTGATGCGTGCATCTGTGACCACTGTGCTGAGTGTGATGCGTGCATCTGTGACCACTGTGCTGTGTGTGATGCGTGCATCTGTGACCACTGTGCTGTGTGTGATGCCTGCATCTGCCTCCACTGTGCTGATTTGTACTGAGGACCATTTTCTCCAGGTCAGAAAGATGATACATTTCAGCCAGTTGGTCAAATGTTATGTAACATCTGCAAAAAAAAGCAGATATAAAATACTCCAGATAATAGAAAACTTTGTGTATATCGGTACTTACGGGTTGGTCGGGGTTGGAATTTCTCTCTGCTGTAAGCATCCCCTGCTTGGCATTTCTCTGCAGGACGTAAGACCGATCTGGCATTTGCAATGTTTTTTTTCTTTGGCATAGATTCAGAGGCTCGAGGTTTATGTTGGGCAATGCTGGAGCTGGGATGACATAGTACTGGCAGCGTATCCCCAGCTATTAAAAATGAAATATGAAGATGATTTGGCAGATATAAAGTGAGTTTAGCTTGCTATTGAAACATAAAGTATTTCTTACTAAGAAACAGGAAGCACCACAGATCATATCACAAAATAACTGTCACAAAGTAAGATGCTGCAAAAATTACATATTTTAGCAAATAGTTACATAGTAGGTAAGGTTGAATAAAGACAAGGTGCATCAGGTTCAACCTATGTTGTGTGTGTGCGCGCGCTAAAAAGGAATTTTAGCCAATAGTTACATAGCAAGCGCAAATAATTACATAGTAGGATCACAGACATACTGATACATTTGTTCTAAGTAAAAATCCTAAGGTTCCTCTCTGCGTCCCCCTTACCTTAACTCTTAATGCTCCCCCACCTTAAACCTTAACACTTCACCTAACCTCTAAAATGGGCCCTTAACTCTTAATCTTCTCCATGACCTATAATCTGTACTCCTTCAGTTAACTATACACGTTACAGCCTGACTGTACAAGCTCCCTTAGCTCTACCAACTACCAGGTACTCCAAGGACCTGCCTGATTGGATACACAACGAACTAGGACCAGACAGACCCTCTCATTGCACAGACTGAGGATCTGAACAGGAGAACGTCAAAGCCTGAGGACCCAATACAGGAGATGGTCAGAGACTGTGGACATGTTAAATAAGTAGTTGGAGAGTGGGTACACGCTGTAGGAGACATTAGTGCTCCCTACAGCCGAGGGGTACATATCACATGGCACAAAGCTGAGGGGAAGCCTTGAAGGACTTCTTCCCACTAGGTGCCAGGTCCTGCTCTGCATTTGAGATCTGGTAAGGTTTTTGTTACTGACTGACTCTCTGTATGATGTATACTCCTGAACCATCCACTATAAATATACATGCACATATAAATGTAAATTTTTACTCCTGACCTATGAACTCTTTACATTACATACTACTGAGGTAGTTTATGTGTGCACACAAACAGGCTCACAATGCCTCTTCAGGTACACCCACTGTTCGGCACGATGTGGCCACACACATCATTTGCCACAGAAGTGTAGCATTTTTTTTCTTTGATGTGTCTAAGGCTCCATTCACATATGACGTTTGCATTTGCGCGTGGAAAATCACGCGGCACGAAAACGTGCAACTTTTTACATACGCGCAGAATCAGTCCAAAAAAATGGCGCTTGGACTATTTTGCAGGACTAGCGCTTTCGTACCGCATGGACGCCGCTATGGTCTGAACAATGTACATTGGAATGCATAGTTTTTGTATGTTTAGCGTTTCCGCAGAAAACCGCTAATGTGTGAATGGAGCCTAACAACCAAGGAGACTGACATTCCCGGAAGTATCGATTTCATTTGACAGTGCGGCCAGCAGGAGAGGTATTTGCTCTCTTCTTTTGCAGGTAGAACTTCTGGGGCATTGACTTTATCACAAGGCACATTAACACACAAAATTCTGCCAGTCACATGGGTTCAGTACTGCACTGCAACAGTCTGAACTGGTGCTTAGACTTTGTTGTTGCTGAGAGAGTAATCCATGCAATGTCAATTTACCGTGTGTATTTCTAAAGCAGTGAATGTGACACTCACCGAGCATTCACTGCAGGTGAATAATGCAGCTGTCATTTAAAACACAAACACGAGGAAGATACAAATGCAGATAATGTTTGGTGAATGTCACATTCACGTCTGTATAAATATAATCCTAACTAGAAATGCAGTGCAAATTTAAAGAACTCTTACTCTGTAAACGCTCTTTTATCTGACGCTGCTGGAAGTTTGTCAGCCTGGACTCCTGCATCATCACTGCAAAAAAAAATAAACAAAAAAAGTCAGCAGAACTATAGAGGTGCATTGTGAGAAGATACAATAAAGTGCAAACTTCATGCAGTACAGCTAATGAAGAAGCAGAGACTTTGTAGCAAATTTGTCTGTCACCAATAGTAATGTGAAGGGGCTTGCAAGCCCACACAAAACTGTCAACTACAGCCCTTCCCCCAATCAGTTGCAGCCGGGGCATTCCCCCACCCTTCTCCCCCACCTACATATCACAATGGGCAGGGAATGCCCCTGCCATAACTGGGCTTTGGGGGGGGGTTGTCAGTGAAGGTTTTGCAGTGGCTTGGTCAAACTTTGCACCAAGCCCCCACACATCACTAGTCATCACCTAAATGTATACAACATTTCCTTTTGTTTAGTATTTTCCAGAATAGGAAGGTAGTTAAAAATCAGGACCAGTCATTTCCTGAAAGTTTCCAATCAGCAGACTCAACACGTACCATAGTTTCTGCTCCATACTAACATATGAAAGAGAGATTCCAGCGCCGAAAACCACTGACCCGCAGAAACATGTATTTGCTTATAAAATACAGATGGCAATGTTACAGATTCATTAGAAATGGCAGTTTACTTAGTAGGTATAGAGAGCTAATGTGCAGTCCCTGATATCATATAATGGCCACACAAGCTCAGCATCTCAAATGCTACCGAGAGGCTTTGCACATACAAGTACTGAGTGTGAATTTGATGTTTAGCTACTGAGCTCTGTAAACAGGCTTTTTTCAACAGAGAAAACAAATCAACGTGTAAAGCAGGGGTGCCCACAAGGTCGATCGCGATCTACCAGTGATCGCTTAGCGATCACTGGTAGATAGCCATGTCCTCTCCTCCCGCCGCTTCTCTGGATCCCCGCTGCTCTCCCTAGCGGGGATCCGAGAAGAAGTGAAGGAATTGGCGGCGGGGGAGGGCGGAGCCGCTGTCACAGAACTAATGCAGAGCGGTGAGGAGAGAGAGAGACGCTCGGCCAGGATCTGACAGCCGGCGCCTCTCTCTCCCCTCACTGCTCGTCCGTTCTGTCACAGCGGCTCCGACACCCACCCGCGGCTGAAGTGCTCTTTCACTTCTCGTCGGATCCCCCGCTGCCTCTGCCCGGGAGAGCAGGGGGATGCAGAGGAGAAGCTGAGCCCATTTGTGCGTGGCCGAGCGGCAGAGGATCGGTACATGTCACTAGTATGTACCAATCCTCTGTGCAGGACAAACACTGGAGCGATCGGCTGATCACTCCGGTGTTTGTAAATAACTGGGGACACATAGTACTATGTGTCCCCAGTTATAAATGAATGAACAGGATGTGATTTACATCACGTCCCGTTCATTCATGAGTTTCTGAATGGGGAGAAGCACTCTGTACAGAGGCTCCTCCCCATTCAGAAACTGCTTGATAGTAAATATTTTCTGAATGAATGGGAAGCCTCTGTGCTTTACATTCATTTAGAATAGAGGCTGCAGAAAAAAAGATTGAGGGCTATGTGTCCTCAATTTCTTTTTCTATTTTAAAAGGGAAATATCAGGGGGCTTTTTAGACCCCTAATATTTCCCCGAAGCCCCCCCAAGAGTTAAAAAAAAAAAAATTGCGAAAATTAAAAAAAAAATAATGAAAATAAAATAAGGCGCAAAAGGAGCTGGCTACGGCTATGCTCCCGTGGTGCTCGTGCGGCTGCCGGCTGAATGTGTCAGACGCTGCAGATGGAAAGGTGCAGGACACCCCATGTGCAACGTCGGCCACACGAGCACCACGGGAGGACAGGACGCCGGGACATGTAGGGCGCACTGGAATGTAAGCCGGCCGACTCCCTGCGTTCAGGTGCGGGAGGGGGTGTGGAGCTGTATTGAAGTCAATGGCATCGCCCACAGTGCGATCGCCCGCACTCGGAACGCAGGCACATTAGTCCCTGCATTCCGGTCCAGTGCGATCTGCAAAAATAGTGCTCGCAGCATTTTTGCGGATCGCACTGGACTGGAACACAGGCACTAATGCAGGCGATCGCACTGTGGGCGAGGGGCCTGCCTGCGGAGCCTGGCTGCGGTGCCATTGACTTCAATGCACCGCCACGCCCCCTCCCGCCCCTGAATGCAGGTGTTTTTTTGTTGGTAGATCTCAATGAGCTCGTCATTTGAAAAGTAGATCTCCAGACGAAAAATAGTGGGCGCCCCTGGTGTAAAGGATCTTAGAGCGCCATCTGCTGGCTGGATATGCAAATATGAACTATTTATTTTTAAAGCTGAACTTCAGCATAAACAAATGTCTACAGACAAGAGGCATGTGTATTCTTACTTGAATCTCATTTGCTTTATGTTTTTCTTCCAGATCTGTGCAGTAATCAAGCATGCTTCAGTAGCTTCCTGTAATAACAACAACTCACTGCTGCTCTTTCTCCCTGTGCAAGGTGACTGGTCTTGTATCCACCCCTCTTGTCATCTTCTGCAAGGAGCCTGTATTGGGTGGGCCTGCCGGGGCCCCTCCCACAGCTCGCCTCTCTCCACAGGAAATGTACAGCACAGTGATGATGCCACTGCTACGTTTACACCTGAATAACTGGGTTTGCAAAGGCATTTGGTGCATACAAAGTGCATTTATATCCTTTTTGGTTATTTAGGAGTATAGTTAAATAAAATGTTTCTGTGCCCATAGTTGTAATATTTAACTACCCAAATATTTTTTTTTTTAAATACTTTTGATTGTGTTTTAACCTCTTGCCGTCCGCCCGTAGTAAAAAAACGGACGGACGGCACTGCAGCATCTGCGGGTTGACACCTCACTTTCATACCTTCAGCACTCCTCCTTTCCACATGCTCCCCACTTTCATACACTCCTCTCCTCACATACCTTCCATCATCATCCCCCCCCATACTCATCTCTTGCACGAACTGCCCACCATCATACCCCCTGCAAATACTGCACACCATAATTCCATCTGAACCTCTCTCCTGCACATTTGCCTGTTGTAATACCTCTGCAGAACTCTTATGCACATACTGTCAGCCACCATAACCGCCACACTCCTCCCCTGAACATACTGCCTGCTAACATACTCAAGCCATCATACCCTTCACACTTCTCTACTGCACATATTCTCTGCTGTCCTACCCTTGCCATCACACCTGCTGCACTCTTTCCCTGCACATACTGCCCACTGTAATACCCTCTGCAATCCTCACATACATATACTGCTAGCCGTCATACTCCCTGCACTCCATCCCTGCAAATACTGCCAACTATCATACACTGCACTCCTCCCCTGCACATACTGTCTGCTTTTATACCCTTTGTACTTCTTTCCTGCACTTACTGCCCACCATGATACCCTTTACACTTCTTACCTGCACATACCTCCACCATCCTGCAGTTCTCTGCACATACAGCCTGTCTCCCAATCACATACTGCCCACTCTCATGCCCACCACATTCCTCACCTGTACATACAGGCCACTTTCCTACCTTATGCACTTTTATACCTGCACATACTGTCTGCTCACAAGCGCTTTGCACTCACTAAACAAACTGCCCTCTCTCATATGCTATGCATTCCTCCCCAGAACATACTGCCAGCTGTTATACCCTCCATGTTCTTTTTATGCGCATACTGCCTTCACTTCTACCCTGCACATACTACCCTCTGTTATAGCCTCCTTACCTCTTCCCTTTACATACTAGCTGCTTTCATGCCCTCTGCACTAGTCATACCCTCCATACTTCTCTCCTACACATACTGCTTGCTGTCATACCCTTTGCACTTCTCTCCTGTGCCTACTGCACACTACAGCACTTCTTTAGTATTGCCAGTTCTGGAACTGGCACACTTTTGCTAGTTTCAAGTAACGCAATCAACACCTTTTATCGCCAAGAAGAACGAGGTTAAAAAAAAGCCAGGTAACACATGTAGTGAAAAATAATGCTGATGATCACACACTTCCATGGAGTTTAACAATCCTTTACAGTTACCTCGTGTGCTTCCCAATGCTCACGTTAAAGAGAATGTAAGTGGTACTACTGTGAGAATGAGGTTTACTTCCAGCCACAATGATACTGACAATCATTTTCTACATACGTAACATCACCTTTCAGCAGGTTCTGGGTTTCTTTGCTGTACTGAGCTGGTTTTGCACTGTTCCAGAATCCGGTACCCAGCGGCACCTGGACATTTCCATCCTGCCTTGACATAGCGATGCTGCAAAAATCAGAAGAAAGTAAATATATATCAGTTGTTTAATTCTCAAGCAACATGTTGGATCTTGTGTACTCTGTACTTTGTCCATACTAATATACTGCTAGTACTAGGCAAAGTAACAGTTTAGCAGCAGACACCATAACATTTCTTTTATTTTTGTTTCCAATAAAGTTTTATTTCAATTTTCAATTATAACAACAGGCGATACAATAGAAGATCAGCTGAGTTACAGGTGCTGGTCAATCATATAATGAATAAAAGACAAGCATCTAACATTGTAAGGCAGATAGCAATAGTATGGCCCATCATGTCTCGACCCCAGACGTGGAATGCAGCACCTGCGTAGGACGAATAAAGGGCCATATACAGTATTGTTGCTTTTGCAAGCAGCTATTCAGACACTAACAAAAACATAAACAGTAACAATAACCAAAGGGCCCAAGTAGCATCATGAGTATTCGAGAGTCACTGAGGCCCACCGACATGCGGTGGGGTCAGTGTATTGTAACAAGGCTCCCAAGCAGTGCAGGGTCACCGTAGGTCTATAGTGCTACAGGAGGATACCCTGTTGGTATGATGTGTCGGTATCTAGGGCTCGGGATCCGTCTCAAATCTCTATTCGGGGAGGGATGGGAGAAGGGAGAAGCTCCTTTCACTTTTATTTCTCCATCTCCTCCCCTCCCCAGTTTATTAACAATTGCTAGATAGGGCAATGCAAATAGCGAAATATTGTGTTCATTTGAGGATGTCCAAGACAACTGTGGGACATCCTGGTGAGACAAAAACGAAAAGTAGGAGACTAGAAAGGGGTAGCAGGGGTATTATGGGAAGGGGGTGGGGCAGGGGGAGGGAGGAGCAGCAGGTAGAGGTTCAGCCAGATGGCTCTGCAGTGAGTCGCCATCTTCTCCTCGTATCCCCTTGAAGTAGAATGATCAATACAAGAAAGAAAAGATTGTCAGTGGAGTCCTCTATGGAAGAGGGACCACCATAACATTTCTGACCCTACCTCACACACTCATTCAGTACTAAACCCCTACAACATTTCTGGGTAAGGTTTAACTTACACAGGGTTTGGCAAACTCTTCTTCATTCACTCCATGTGACAAGAGTTCAGGGCCTTGGGGAGGGGGGTGGTGTGGGTGGCCAGAATTAAAAAAACAAAACACTAGCTAATGCAGTTATGTATTCACTATAATGACATTAAAGCCAAACGAATGTCTTACACACAAGAACACTCAGTTTTGAGTAAAACAGGACTGACATTTTCCCCTAGCCTTGCTAACAGTTTCACTCCCTGCACTATGTTCACCTTGTATACTCTTTGTATGAAGTTTCTGTGGACATCTGTGGCCTTCAAAGCTACTGTGATGACTTTAGTAGAACACACCAAGGTACATTCTGCTGGCATGGCTGCCTTTAGGTCAACTCTGGAGCACAGTAAAAGGGTGACAATGCCATTAGGAAAGGAAGTGCCTGTGGATAATACACATTGCTGATAAAATCCCCAGCTATGACTTGAATAAAATAGTAGCACAGTGGCGTAGTGGTTAGCACTTCTGCCTTGCAGTACTGGGGTCCCCAGTTCATATGCCAGTCAGGACACTATATGTAAGGAGTTTGCATGTTCTCCATGTGTGTGGGTTTCCTCCCACATGCCAAAGACATGCTGATAGGTTAATTGGCTCTTGTCTAAATTGGTCCTGTATGTATGCATGTGAGATGGGGACCCTAGATTGTAAGCTCCTTGAGGGACTGATGTCAATGTGCAGCATGTAAAGTGCTGTGTACATTGTCGCGCTATATAAATACCTGTAATAAATATACGTTAGAAAATTGAAACTTTTTTACAACACATGAACATGCGTGGCAACATATTTGGTTTTTAAAGCGTAACATAAACAATAAATGATGATCAGCAGGCTTTTTATGACAGAAGAGACTGTGTAAAGTAGGCTATACATGCAGCCGGGCCACAATTCGTACAGTGGTGCCGCTGTCAGCACCCATCTGCCCAGCATCCCTCGATCAGCTGATTGATGGAAAAGGTCAGAAAATTCTCAGCCGAACAGAGATAGCAGCCAATCAGCAGCAAACTGTGTTAGGGTATTCTGACAGAATACAGTAGAAACAAAGGGAGATTCCTCGATCAACGATTGTAAGCATTGATTAAGATATCTGTTCTACTTTCTTCTTTCAGCCCGCAGGTTGAAGGAAAAAAGATAGAACTGTGTATACCCAGCTTAAAGTGACATTAAAGGCAGTTATTCCCCCAATGTTGCTTTAAGGACTTACCTTACGTGATGCCTCTTGATCTGAACAGCTTCTTCCTTCCACTCCTTTTCCACACTCCCTCCAGCGCTGGTGCCAGTCTCTGATCCAGCACAGACTCCTCATGTCACACGGTGTCTGTCCAGCACGCGCTCCTGGCTTCCCCCATTCAATCTGGACTGCGCAAGCGCCCACCCACACTTCCTCCTTCGCACCACTAAGGAGCCAGGACTTCTTCAGCCGGGAGCAAGAGGCGCTGACACAGGTAAGTTAGTTGGTATTTGTTTTACATGTTGGGACATACATGTACTGCATACTAGCAGTAGATAGATGCCACAAAAAAAAAGACCAGTTTAATGCTACTTTAGGTCTCTTCAGTCATAAAATCTTTTTGCTGCCTTTCTGCAATTTTTGCTCCTGTACACTGAGTACACATGCACAGCTCAGTACACACGCTTGGGATGCGAGGCAAAGTAACTCCTGTGTGCATATGCGGTAGTTGCGTCACCGGAGCCCGGCCAATCAAGTGGTCAAAGAATGGGAACTTGGATGGAGAAAAGGGGACCTTCTCCAATATAATGTCTGGGGGGACATTTCAAATCATTACCAATGAAGAGGGCACTCCTCCGTTGATTTTAGAGAGGACCACAGTGGTCTCTTACCAATAACCAGGCCTGCTATGGTCTTAGAAAAACTATGCTTCCCTTTCATGGAATTTAGTGCCCCTTTAGCATACAACGCACACACAACACACTAAATGTCAATGAAATTCAGCTTTAAAAGGGACTGCAATGTAAAAGGTACTTTAGGGAAAGTGTTGAAGGCCCCATTAAGCTGATGCTATGGGACCCCGAAATTGTATGACCTCTCTGACTATTCCAGTCATGCCTATAAAGCTACAAGGACACCAACTTCATCATTTTCTAAGTATTTCTAGTGCTATAAAGTCACTAATGGTATTGAGCGACAATTGGAATGTGTACAAATATTACATATCGGGCTGAATGTGACCTCGTCCGCTCGTACCTGTATTACACCCAATTATACGCAGTAAGCGCTCGCTATTAGACCCGCTCAGACAGATGTTTTCTGTTCCCATAGAAACAAGACGAAGGCGGGATCAGAGGTTGTAGGTGGGCGGGACGCAGAGTAAGCGGTGGTTTTCGCTGTATTTCCGTTTCCGGCTCCAGGTGGATGTTACGCAATTCCTTTTCCGGCCTTAGTGTGCATGGTCTTTCCGGTTCACAAGTTGTGTGAGATCCGAGAGGGAGAGAATCGGAGTGAACAGAGGCGGCATGTCTGATAACGAGGACAAGTGAGTATGTCATTTACCGTCTCATTGTCTAGTGCGATGTGTGAGAGGAGCCGGGTGCTCTGCTTTGTTGTACATATAATGAAGCGTCCCCCCATGTGACGGTTCATTCCATTTCTGGTTGGAGAGATGTTAAAGTGACGCTGAACTCAGGAGTTAAATCTTAAAAATGGTGGCTTCTTTTGTTCCCAATGGTCCCCGTGTGTGTTGTAAAGTAGACACTGCTCCAAGTTCACTCCTGTGATGGGCTACAATCTCAAAACAAACTAGAGAACTACAGCTGAGATTGTAGTCCATCCAGGACTGAGCTTGAATCCCTGGCTACTTTACAACACACACAGGGACCATGGGGAACAAAAGTAGCCACCCTCCAGAAGGAAGGACAGTGTCAGCACCAATTCAGAGAGGATTTGATGATCTACAGCTGAGTGATACACCAATAATACACCAATTGTTAAGTCACTTGAATGTATTTTTAAGCTATAACTCCTACGTTTAGTGTCACTGTAAGTGTAATGTAACCCAAATGTTTTCAGTTTGGGCAGGATAAGTAATAGTAAAAAGGATTATTTGCTGATGGTGTCTTGTTGGGGAGATTTCCCTTCAGTCCCAGAGACAGAGCAGAAAGTGGAGAAAGAGGAGGATGTGAGGGGATGCCCCCCTCTTAGTCCTCATTAGTAAATGTCCCCTCACCTCCTGTTTCTGTGAGAACTGAAATATTTTGGGTTTCTCACCACTTTCTGTACAGGAGACCATCATCAAGACCAGTAGAGGGAAACATTGCCAGTGGGGACACAGACAGCAATAAAAACTTGACAAAAGTTTTAATTGTTACAAATTTCATCCAAATTAAAAGTAATTAAAAAAAGTAAAGGTATTACAATCAATATTCAGTGAGAATACATAAAGTCCATACATTGCCTATATCATGGGAATACAGGACACGCATATGAACTAGTCTTTACTTTTGATTGGTCAGGGGATCACACACTGAGGCTTGTGATTGGTCAGGGGATCACACACTGAGGCTTGTGATTGGTCAGGGGATCACACACTGAGGCTTGTGATTGGTCAGGGGATCACACACTGAGGCTTGTGATTGGTCAGGGGATCACACACTGAGGCTTGTGATTGGTCAGGGGATCACACACTGAGGCTTGTGATTGGTCAGGGGATCACACACTGAGGCTTGTGATTGGTCAGGGGATCACACACTGAGGCTTGTGATTGGTCAGGGGATCACACACTGAGGCTTGTGATTGGTCAGGGGATCACACACTGAGGCTTGTGATTGGTCAGGGGATCACACACTGAGGCTTGTGATTGGTCAGGGGATCACACACTGAGGCTTGTGATTGGTCAGGGGATCACACACTGAGGCTTGTGATTGGTCAGGGGATCACACACTGAGGCTTGTGATTGGTCAGGGGATCACACACTGAGGCTTGTGATTGGTCAGGGGATCACACACTGAGGCTTGTGATTGGTCAGGGGATCACACACTGAGGCTTGTGATTGGTCAGGGGATCACACACTGAGGCTTGTGATTGGTCAGGGGATCACACACTGAGGCTTGTGATTGGTCAGGGGATCACACACTGAGGCTTGTGATTGGTCAGGGGATCACACACTGAGGCTTGTGATTGGTCAGGGGATCACACACTGAGGCTTGTGATTGGTCAGGGGATCACACACTGAGGCTTGTGATTGGTCAGGGGATCACACACTGAGGCTTGTGATTGGTCAGGGGATCACACACTGAGGCTTGTGATTGGTCAGGGGATCACACACTGAGGCTTGTGATTGGTCAGGGGATCACACACTGAGGCTTGTGATTGGTCAGGGGATCACACACTGAGGCTTGTGATTGGTCAGGGGATCACACACTGAGGCTTGTGATTGGTCAGGGGATCACACACTGAGGCTTGTGATTGGTCAGGGGATCACACACTGAGGCTTGTGATTGGTCAGGGGATCACACACTGAGGCTTGTGATTGGTCAGGGGATCACACACTGAGGCTTGTGATTGGTCAGGGGATCACACACTGAGGCTTGTGATTGGTCAGGGGATCACACACTGAGGCTTGTGATTGGTCAGGGGATCACACACTGAGGCTTGTGATTGGTCAGGGGATCACACACTGAGGCTTGTGATTGGTCAGGGGATCACACACTGAGGCTTGTGGTTGGTCAGGGGATCACACACTGAGGTTTGTTACACATTCTGTCCTGTCATGCCTGCTACACCATATCAGGATAGAAGAATGTCTCTGCCTTAGAGGCCAGTGAGGGACTTTGAATGGACATCGTAGGAAATTATGTGGAAAGTCGGGCCCCAGTAACAAAGTGGCTGTGGCCTGTCCTTGAGTTTTAGGCATGCTGAGGTTATCTGGAGTGTTTCATGTGATTCTGCACCTTCTTTTACTGAAGGCTGTAACCTTAAGGCTCTCATATGGCCAAATGTTATACCCTGTTTGCGATGGCTTAGCCTCCCTTCTTCACCTGCACTGTTGTGGCTGTTCTTGGAAACCTGGCAGTTAGGCTGGAGAAATGTGCCAGTGTGGCACTCAGGGAGTATGCTATATGTGTTCACATGTAATAACCAAGTGGAGCATTATTATTATTATTATTATTATTATTCAGGATTTATATAGCGCCAACAGTTTGCGCAGCACTTTACAATATAGGGAAGACATTACAATACAATTCAAGACAAGATGGTAAGGGGTGCCCTGCCCCTGAGGGCTTACGATCTAAAAGGGAGGGGGAAGTGATACATGAGGAGGGAGCTGTGTGGGGATGAATTGTTTGAGAACGTGATGGTTGAGCGGGGATAGGCTTCCCCTATCTGAGTCTTTAGGGATCGCCTAAAGGCAGTCAAGGTGGGTGACGGACGGACGGGTTGGGGTAAAGAATTCCAGAGGATGGGAGAGACTCTAGAGAAGTCCTGGAGGCGAGCATGGGAGGAGTTGACAAGGGAGCTGGAAAGCAGGAGGTGTTGGGATGAGCCGAGGGTTAGGGTGATACTTTGAGACAAGGTTGGAGATATAGCCGGGGGCGGAGTTGTTAATGGCTTTGTAACTGATTGTTAATATTTTGAATTTTATCCTTTGGGCGAGTGGAAGCCAGTGCAGGGATTGACAGAGGGGGGATGCAGACACTGAGCGGTTGGTAAGGTGAATGAGTCTGGCGGCTGCATTCATGATAGACTGAAGGGGGGATAGCCTGTGTAATGGAAGGCCAATGAGGAGGGAGTTGCAATAGTCAAGACGAGAGATAACAAGGGAGTGTATGAGTAGTTTTGTGGTTTCATTGGTGAGGAAGGGGCATATTTTTGAGATGTTACGAAGGTGAAGGCGGCAGGATTTGGATGTGGGGAAGAAAGTTCATACTCCATACGGAGGGACAGAGAAGCAGGACCCAATGGTGAATATTTTAACCAGTTGACACTGGGTATGACAATGCCCCAAGGTTTAGGAGAGTTGGTGGGTAGAAAAAACTACAGTGGCGTACACAATGCACAAACGGGTATGTAAGACATAGGAATGAAGGAGTGGTATTGTGGTATGAAAACTAACAAAAGGGTGTCCTATTCTAACTTATTTATTTTTCACTGTGGTGACAGGTTCTCTTTATTAGACCCCTAATGCCTCCACTTTTTCCATCAGTTACAGATCTGGGACAGAAAGTACACACTCTGGCTGTGTTCTGTGACTTTATCGTCTGTCTGCTCTGAATAGGGGGCCAGTGTTCTGTGAGTGTGTGCTTGTGTGTGTACATTCAGGGTAACAATAAGGGGCCTGTGCTGACAGGTGGTATTGCATTCCCATACAAGCCTATGGGAATGTTAAACCTGCTTTAAGCAAGTCAAATGCAGGTCAGATGAACCTGTCAGTGGATTCTGAATGATCTCAGAAGCAAATTAAACTGATGTCAATCTGATATTACCAACACAAGCTCAAAGCCCATCCACACAGGCCCTAAAGAGGAGGAGGATGTAACAGAGAGAGGTGCTGCACAAGGCATGAGATTGTAAAGCTGTCTATGAACACACAAGTTGTTCTTTTGCAATATATTTATCTAATTGGATTCAAATGGAAAAATGTGAATCCTGGGTGTATGTTCTGTGAATAATGTGAGAAAATTTTTTTATAAGCTTCCATGTGTTGGTATTAGTGAGTCCCAATGTATCAGATGAATTGTCTTGCTGGTTTTCGTTTTTAATGAATTCTGACACTTGGTATAAACAAACTGCCCACAAATTGTGAAACTGTGGGGTTTGAAGAGAAAACATGTAGCACAGTAAATGTTATACATGACATTTGATAGTGTTATTTTTAAAGAAGTGGCTGTGTGGTACTATGCAGGCTGCACAGCAAAGACTTGGTGGAACAGGGACAGTTAGGTGATTGACTTGTGAAGGTTGATCACGGAGGGTACTAAAGCCACTGAAAGGGGAATTACGCTTTATGTGGGGAGAGAAAAATTGCAACAGTGGGGACTGATTGCTTTGGTGATGTTTCATGCCAGTCATGCACAAAGTGTTCTATATGAGCTGTAAAATATATAGCCTTTAATATGACACGCATTAGTCCTTGAAGAACCCCTGGAAGTACTGTTTTATATCTAAACGCCCATAAAGTGGAATTAAACCCTGTAAGTCCTCTTTATCTCCCACTACTGCTGAAGCTGGCGCAATCTTTCATGATGTCTAGTGTTTTCCTCCCATAACCCTACTGCCACCCTCACTGCGTGGCATCAGAAATTCGTGTGCATGTGCAGACAAAAGTGTGCCAAGCCTCACTTTGCCTTACAAGTTTCCAGGATGCTTTGATGTAATTATCTTCATCACAACTGATCCCTATGGCAGTTGGCCAACACTAGAGGAGTTTCCTTGCCCTATGTGACTAGCAATGGGTTCAGGAAGGAAAGAGAGAGCAGAGTTCCTTGCCGGAGAAAGCTGTGACGTAAACAAGGTAAGGTGCTCTTGGCACCGCCAGGGTGCCGGGAATCAGAGTTGCAATGTGTGAGTGACATCACCCGACATTATTACAGTTATATCTATGGAAGGAAAAGCCTTTGGAAGATGTGAAAACGTGTAAAAGATGAGTTCTACTGCAGTTTTATAGAAATGACAAACCTCTCTGTGTGAAAACGCTTAGAAGAGAATTTAAGACTGGAGCAGCTGTGCATGGCAACCAATCGATTTGTAGCTTTCATTTTCAAAGCTCACTAAACAAGCTGACGATAGAAGCTGATTGGTTACTATGTTCAACTGCTCCAGTAAAATAGATGAAACCTGGCATCCCTTGCTTCTTTAGCGGTGCAAATATCAACTTCAGCCACTAGATGGTGTTGTGTATCAAGCAAGGATATGATCGGCAGTTGGGTTTGCAGTGATCAATGTTTGTTAGTTCTTGCTTGATTCGGCTTTATTTTTAAATCTATTTTTAGTAAACCTC